AGTAATAATGATACATATGTATGTACTTCATTGATTAAAGCTAACAGTAAAGAGTTACACTGTCTCTCAATAATCTCAAGATGTCCATAGTCAGAAAGAAATGTAAGAGCAGATAGCTTTTGACTCTCCTCCTTATCTTTCTTGCCTTCCATTTACCCCGAAAAAGAAATAAAGAGAGAGAAGAAAATGGATTTCACCACTTAGCAGCTCGCTTAGCAGTTAGCAATGGATGGCCAGGTGGTTCCATGCCGCTAGTGATGGGCGATATATCGATTCTTTATCGATATAAACGATATTTTACGGAATCGATTTGAATCATTATCGAAATTTTTATGCAATTTTCATCGATCTATTGACCACGCCCATGTATTAAGGTTAAATAACTAATTTTAATAAGTAATTGCACTGTTGAACTGCAAGAAAGAAGCAACTGACCAGTTGTTAGCTCAGCCTACCCCAATAAGAAGAGAACCAAGTTCAAGAGCATGAAAATGATCTTCTCTCATGACAAGTACAGTTATATCTGTGCCAAAATCATTAGCCACACCCTTGACACGCCCCCAAAATGAAGGTGTGGTTATCGTATCGTTAATAATCGATATTTCCTTAAAAAGTCCAATATTGATCGTTATCGAAAATTAAGAAAATTGGCCATATCGCCCATCACTACATGCCGCCAAGTGACGTCATAAAATTTTCACGTGATCTAAAAATGGAGTCGGAGATCATTTGTGGAGGAATGAATAAGAACGAGCGACCTGCCGATGCGGCCATACAGGAACTAGCAGACAAAGTAGACCAGTTTATAATGTCCAAAAAATAATTGTTAAATATCTTCAGGTTAAAGTATCCGTAGAGGAAAAGTCTGGTAGAAAATTTACTGAGTACAGGGCCATTACATACTGCACTCAACTGGTAGCAGGAATGAATTACTTTATTAAAGTAAGGGACACTGTGGGGTTAGTGGGTCAAATGGAATATATATATAGACCCTATGGGGCGCTAATTTCTGCAAGTAGTCATTGCATTACGGTATCCACCCACACTCATGATTTGGACGGCAAGTTACAGTGTAGCTCGAGGTGTAGCTACTGCTACATGGGGAAACAAGGAACAAGAGGCCTTCGTGGCTTCCAGAGATTGCCTGAGTGGCAATAAATGCCAGTAACTGTGAAGAATAAAGCCCAGAATGTCTCCTGAGAAAAAGCTTCATTGCACTTGAAGCAACTTTTCCACAAATGCTGTTTTTGGCCTCCTATCCATTGGTTTTGCTGTCCAGCAGGAGAATTTCGAAATTTTTTCATTAAAGAATGTGGATAGGATACGGAAGATTACGAATAGTGTCTTATATACGGTATCTATAATTGCTTCTAGAAGTTAGTGCCCTATAGGGTCTATACACCAACCTGGGAACTAGAACTACACCTCATGTCTATTAATATTTTTAGTTAGGGTCCCCTCTAGGGTTAAGGGGTTGGGACGATTTTACTTTTGGTGTGACAGTTTGTAAATTAGTGGAGGGTGTAACCTTGTTGTATTTTGGAAATGAATGCACGGCAAGAAATAATCATGCATGTAGCTGACACAGGCTGACAGTTTATTTTGGTTGATTCAGGCTTACCATTGGAAATATGTGTGCATTGAAATTGGTAGGTTCTTCTCAAAAACTGTAGCATCTCTGATTTTTATGTACTCCAACTGTTTTTTTATGTCATTTTATGGTATTTTTATTGAGAATTATTATTCTCATCAACAGTTCATATATCGGTAACTTATTTTGGCTATACTGATATCAACCGATTTTGATAAAAATGGGCCGATACCGATATTTGTATTGGTATCGGTGCATCACTAGTACTATTTCGTAAGATATTATATAATTATTTATTATTGGGCTTTAGGTATGTGTTGGTACTGATGATTACATTATGTTACGTATCTATCAAAACCTTGATGAAGAGGTATCTCTCACTTCCTACCAGCTGGACAAGAAAGATAATGACCCAATTGAATATTTTTAATAATTTAAATTTTGCTGTTGTAATAAATGAATTAGAGTTAAAATTGTTTTTATAAACAAAATTAATACTGTAGTCTGAAAGGTTGATGAATGTTTCAAATCAGTGGTTGACCAGCAAGGTTTCTTATCATAAATTATCATTTTTGTGGTTTGGCTCTTATCTACCTTGTCCTGGACTTTACAAGCAACCAGTCCTTGTTTGACTACATTATTATGATTACTAGTGTTGCTGATAGTGTTAATTATACCACTACTGATATGACTAGATCTGATTTTACCAGTACCTTCAACCAATGGTACAGAATATACTTTCACTGTTATAACTGTTGATACTACTGGTAGATGATGTGGTGATGATTCATATAATTTAAAAGTATAGATAATCAATGCTGTATTTTATTATTTTTAGTTCCAGGTGTAAGGTCACAATTCTTCATTAAAATTGCAACTGCATCAAAACTATTGTACAAGTGCTGCCACTGCTAATGAATGAAGCTTCACATTATCAATATTGTGAATATGATTGAATTTAGGAGAGATAATCAAAAGTTCAAATTTTTTAGCATAATTACCTGATTGCATTGCAATTGATGCTGTGTATCATCACTTGTGAAAAAGATAGAGCAAGATATGGAAAAAGCAAATGCACTGAGGCAATATTATTTTTAATGTCACTATTCGGACCTTTACTTCAACAGCCTGGTGGTGACAATAGCTACAGGCAGCCATCAAAGCAGTGATTCCATCTTCATGATCAAAATGTAAAAAATTAGGAAGCTAAAAATAATTTCTTTCTTGTTATAAAAATAGCTACATATCACTAAAAAACAAGGTGCTTTTTTTTCAAAAACTTTGGCCATTGACATCTCTCATTTTATATAGTGATGTCATTAGACACGTATGACATCAGTTCCATGTGTGCAGAAGTAGATTCTAAATAAGAACACTGAGTTGACACAATTATAATTATTATTTAATTTTATAGAATAGCTTTAAGTAACGATAATGTAGATATGATGACAAATATTTAAAACTGTACCCTATATAGACTAGAGGCTCATCTATTGACATGAGCAGCAATACAGCAAAAATAACATAACATTAACATAGTACATGTAACTAACAGCAACTATGCACACACACACACACACAAGCACCCACACACACAAGCACCCACACACACACACACAATATCCATCAAACTGTTCATCAGTATATTCTCATCATTTGACATACAGCTCATAAAAGCTAACAGGAACATCTTCATTATGTGTACTTTCATCTCCACACACCCTCAGCTCAAGGTAGTCAGTAATGGTAGTGTTTAGTACCTTACTGAATCATGGAAGACTAGGACGAGATGTACAACAATTACCTTCAGAGCCACCACATCCTTTACCATCCCACAATGGATCAGATGTATAGAGTATGAAACTAGAAATATTAGGATTACCAGATTCACAGAAGTAGTCATTGCCAATGAAAGACTGAAGAGTTGAATTTTGAGAACTGCCTTGAGAACAAGGACAATTGTAATGACCACCATGACTAGTGCTGTCTTCACTTAGTCCAGCAATTAGTGTCCAGACATGTTGACAAGGAGACCCATAAGTGATACTAACACCATCGACATAATAAGAATTAGTATCATTATGACTTTGAGAGCTACCATGACTAGGATTACTTCCATCAGGTGATCCCCATTGATACCCCACTACTCTACCACACACTTGAGAGTAGCTGATACCATTAGATGGAAACTGAACTGATGTACAATTGCCTCCAGTTGATGTTGCTCACACAAGCTCTAACTCCTCCTGACTGATACAGTCTAAACCCAGAAGGACAGTTCACTGTAGCATCAGACATATTCAGATATGCTAGCCTTGTCCATCCTATTGAACCACAGTACGGCTCCTCCATATTACAGTAAATATACGTTGTTCCTTCTTTAGTTACAATGCTGTAATTCTTTGAAGGACTTTCTGGCCAGTACTTCTTTATGTCATTACATGATACAGCATTAGGCTTGCAGGAATATGATTGTTGAGCTAACGTAGCACTACTGGCTGAACTGATAATGAACGCAATAGCACAGAGTAGCATCATAGTAGACTGTGATGTGATTTACTAGTCCCTGATTTATATTATTTAAAGGAGCCTGACTAGTGACATCAGAAATGATGTCTTGCATGTACTTTTGCTGGCCCAAACTCATTCCAAAATGTTCATGTGCTTTTAGCAGTAGCCAAGAATATCAATTAGGCTATTTGCATGTAAGATATGCCAGTAATCAATTTCTCTGGATTTTTACATTATTTTTGCAAATAAAAGTCTTTAGTATAATTTTGAAATAAACAAAGTACACAGTAAGCTGAAATGCCCTGTCCACTCATAAAAGCTAACAGGAACATCTTCATTATCTGTATGCTAATCTCTACACACCCTCAGCTCAAGGTAGTCAGTGCTTAGTACCTTATTGAACCATGGAAGACTAGGACGAGATGTACAAAAATTACTTTCAGAGCCACCACATCCTTTACCATCCCACAATGAATCAGATGTATAGAGTATGGATTAAAATGTGCCATCAGTAGCAGGATTACCAGATTCACAGAAGTGGTCATTACTAATGAAAGACTGAAGAGTTGAGTTTTGAGGACTACTTTGAGAACAAGCAAAATTGTAACAATAATCGCCACTCTGTAAAAAATAAGTGGACTCAAGTAGTCCAGCAATTAGTGTCCAGACATGTTGACAAGGAGACCCATGAGTGATACTAACACCATCAACATAATAAGAATTAATGTGGTTCAATGATACATAGTTTCCTGGATAAACTGCATCAGGTGAAGCATATTGATACCCCACTACTCTACCACACACTTGAGAGTAACTGATACCATTGGAACTGAATTGATACACAACTGCCTCCACTTGATGTTGCTCTACCACAAGCTCTAACTCCTCCTGACTGGCACAGTCTAGACCCAGAAGGACAGTTCACTGTAGCATCAGTCATATCCAGATATGCTAGTCTTGTCCATCCTCCTCCTGAACCACACAGCTCCTCCATATTACAGTAAACACTTTAAGTTCCATCATTAGTTGCCAGTAGATATACACCAAAAGGACTGTTTGGTTGTTTGTTCTTAATCTCTTGACAAGAAGTAGGGATAGGAGAGAAGGAAGATAAATCATTGTTTAAGATGATAAGGTCTTTTACTACCAGCATTAGAGGTAGCAGTTTCCTTGATATGAGAAAGAGAAGAAATGATACTATCCATTTTCTGTTTTATTTCTTGAATATCTTGATCATTGTTCCTTGTAGCATTGAGTAGTTCATCATTAGTGTTGTATTGATTGGTATCAGTATTAGTGGTATGATGTGGTATCACTGCAGGTAGTACAGGCTGCAGTACATGCAGGTATTGTTAGCAACATCATCAAATGTTCTTAAAGAGCAAGATTAGAACTGCTGATTATTATCCTCTTTGTAATAATTGTTTACTGTTTACTCCTCACTCCTTTTATAATATTCAAAAGAGCCTGACTAGCGATGTCAGACATGATGTTGTAGGTAGTGCCAAAAATTCAGAGAATGTACTCTAGTAGTAACTATTAGTACTACTAATTGAACAAGAATGTGTGATTGGCAAGAAGGAAGATAAGTCATTGTGTAACATGATAAGGAGGACAATGCCGAGCAGCATCAAACTGTATTAGAAGGAATGCTAACCTTTCGAACTCAGCATCTTTTGCATTATATCTATGTATGTTCAAAATTATGTCAACAAGGCTTATCATGATGTGATGATGTACACGTGTATACAGTATTACGTATTTACTTAAAGTCCAAATAGTGATAAGGTACATGTACATATCCAAACTTCATGGGTATAATTATTGTATAATAACCTAAACAGAGCTGCCACTTGTCAGTATCTCTACTGGAACATTTGCATGTAATAAATTATAATCATAATTATTGAAAATAATGATAAGTATTTAATAAAGAAAGAAAAGGAAGAGAGAATAAGTTACTGTATAGGGTCAGTTCTATCAAGAAGTGATAAATATCTATAATAATAAAAATACAATATCCTCAATCATTTTACTTATTGGCTTACGAAGGATTATATTGTTCTATTCTTCCTCTCATTATCATTGGACCAATCAGTGCAGTAAGAGATTGAACACAATCAGATGAAGCCATCTTTAATTGCGGACTGGAAGAAATCTGCCATAATGACAAACAGTTAACATACATGTATAGTAAACACATGACATACGATTCCATAAAATATTCCATCAAAAAATAATTCAATATGCTGCTTGAATACTCTCTTGCCTAGTGACTTTGCTATAACAGGAAGCTACATAAAAATAATAATTTCATATCCCCATCCTCCTTCTCTCCCTCACTTGTTTCATTAGTGTCTCCATGTGGTTACAGTGTTGGATGTATTGTCTGTGTCCAGTTGTCTCTGCTAGTAATGGGAGGAGCAATGCAACATTAGAACGAGACCGATCCACTTTAGACAACTCTGACAGTAGGTGAATACAACTAGATAGATACAAGTCAGTGTAAAAGGATTAGCTTTTAAAATTTTCATAAAATTTTGACCATAAGCATTGTCGCATACGTGTACATGTACAACACATACAAGTATACCTCCTACATGTACATGTATTACCTCTCTCCCTTCCTCTCTCTCTCTTACCCCTCACTCTTCTCCCATGGCTGGGCTGGTTTATGGAAGTCACTGTGCATGCATCCACCACCACCTCCTCTCCTCTTCATTTTAGGAGCCAGTGAGCCACAAGAATACATCTAACAAACATAAAGTGAGATCAGACGTGGGATCAACTACAATACAACATTTTTGATATCAGTATAAAATAAAGTAATAATATAGCTGATGTTATATGTGTCAAGTTTGAGCTGATTCCAATCAAGACTGGGATTAATAAAAATTTTAAGTTGCTTCAAAATTTTAGAATGGAACTAAAATGCATGTATTGAGATTCACTTCTAAAAAGGTTACATAGTAGGATTTTGATTAACTATTGTTCATCCATACCAATGACAATCCTACTATTAGTAATGCGGTAGCATTACTAAGTAGGATTCACTCCTCTTCAAAATGGCTGCCACGACTTTTGCAGCCTTGTTGTAACAAGTGACCATTCATTTTCTTAAATGTAAGGAGCAGAATCTGTGTCACAAGAGAAAAAAAATCTCCATTTTTATATCTTTCTGATGCACATAAATATTCTTATCTTGCACAAAAAGTTTGAACTGGTTTCGATTAAAAAGTAAATTCTTAAGTCGCTTAAATATTTGGCTAAATACCCTACCATATTATTATGAGTCTTCAAATTAATTACAAAGATTAGCAAGGAATGAGTAGGATTCACTCTGTAGTCTCAACACATCCTCACCTGTTGGTTGCTGTGGGTATCCATGTCATTGTCATGGATTCTCTTCACAACTCCAAAAACAGCTGGACCGGATTCTAAACCAGGATGAAGTGGATCACTAGTAGGAAATATCAACAATGACACAGCCAGTTTTACGAACCAGTCAAACCTGCTATCAACTGAAGGTGGTTGTTCGGAAACAAGAGGGAGCCATTCCTTGATGACACTAATGACTTTATCTTCGACTTCAGTACCTGAAATATAATTTAAACAATCACCTACAGTACTACTAAAATAAAAAATGTCAACTTTATTCAAATCAAATCCGAGAGCCTCAAATTTCATGTTTCAGACACTAAGCTTCAGCTTAAAGTGAACTGCCATTGTTACAGAATGATCAGCATTGCTCAAAATGTCTTAAAATTACATGTACAATACATACCGTATAGCAGGAAATTTTGGAGGGACTAAGATTTGGCGAATTGCTATTTTTTTGTGATTGGCAGATTTTAATTTGGCAAATTTGTGGTCATGTGCCATTCAGCATGTGTATAATGGCTCAAATGGCAGATTTTTTTGATGAAGGGCTATCAAAATGCCAAATTTAATCCCTTCCAAAATTTCCCGCTATACGGTACATGTATGTACAATGTACATGTACTTATTATGCAGAGTAAAACAATTGGAAAAGGTACAACGTCTAACTCAAAAACTAAAATTTATATCCCTCCCCCTATCTGGCTCTTTCTTACCATATGTCTTCACTAGGTTGCCAATAGCAACAGCAGCTCCTTGTCTCACAGAGGGTATGCTGTCCTCAAGATTGGCTAAGAATAACGGATATAACTGAGATAAGTACTCATGACACTCGTCAGGAAAACAAGCAATAAAGTTACCACAAGCTAAACAAGCAGCTAATAAGAAGAAGGAGAGAAAAGAAGAGAAATTATAAAATGTGCACTGTATAGTGTCACTCTTGATAGTGTATATAGTGCCAAATTTTTGTTAGAAAAAAATGACAATTTGTTAAAATTTTACTTTACAAAAAAATCCTCACGATTCTACATTTGATAGCATAGCAAAAATTTTATCAAAAATTTTTCCTCAACAAAAATTTGGTGATATAAATTACAATACAAGAATCATTAAGGAAAAATCAATTAAGCTCTTACCATCTCTGACAGGCCAGCTCTCATCATGGAAGCAGTCCAGTAATGCTGTCACTAGTTGACTGACATGAGGCCTCACAGCATCTGGTGATATCTTATTCCCTAATTCAGCAATACAAGTACATGCTGCCTCTCTCACTGCATGATTAGACGCTTCACTCTCCTTTATATAGAATGATACCTAATGAGAATAGCATACATAATATTAATAGTCTAGTCCAGCACAATGCACTAAGAATTTTAAAGCAGCCACACAATCACATATACTGTATACTGTATAGCAAGCCACACATATGAGAGAAGTTTCGCACTTTAAGCTGCTAAACTGTGAAAGTAGTACATTAGTTACAGCTATAAGTAAATTTGTTCCTACATGTATGGTATACCGTATAGCCAAAAATTTTCGAGGCTTAAAATTTCGTGAATAATGAAATTTATGGAGAAATTTTAAATTCCGTGATAAATATTTTCGTGATTTTATTTTAATAATAATAATAATAATGACCACGCCTTATTTAATTAAAACATGGTTTGAGACGGACTCTTGTGTCAAGGGGCACCATGTCTACAAATCAGTGTGGACACCAGAGATGGGGAAGATCATCTTTGACCTAGGCAGTATGCTTAAAATAGCAATACAGAGTAACAGAGACATCAGCTTGACCGAGAACACGATTTGACACGAGGGCACGTTTATTAGTCTAAGGCGTGGTTAACCACGCCTCTCAATTAATATTTATTTTCGGGGGTTTAATTTTTCGTGATTCAAGCAGTAATCACGAAAATACGAAAATTTATTCCTCACGAAATTTTTTGGCTATACGGTATTAACTAATACTGCAGTTATAATTTCTACATGCACATGTAGTTTACAATGTACCATATAGCGGGTAAATTTGGAGGGGCTAAATTTTGGCAAATTGCTGAATTTTGGTGATTGGCGGATTTTAATTTGGCGAATTTGTGGCCACGTGCCATTGAGCATGTGTATAATGGCTCAAAATGGCGGATTTTAATTTTGGCGAATGGCTATCAAAACGCCAAATTCGACAAATTTAATCTCCTCCAAAATTACCCGCTATACGGTACATGTATATGACTATGTGTACATAGAGGACATACATGTACATGTACAGTACATGCATTGCATATGCCATTTCATAATCAGAAACAATAGACGTGTACTTTTCAACTAAATTTCAGTGCTACTATAAATGCTCAGAACTCTAAATCTGATTCAAACTCTTGCATGGCATCAATTAATACATCTCAATAATTACCTTACCACTTTGTCAATGTAGTTTTCTACCAGTTGTGTTCCTTTCCCCATTGTGACTTGACGCCATGTCTCCTGTGAATATAACCTTACACCTTCAGCTATGTAATACCTGGTGGGCATTAAATAGAAACAAAATGCTAATGTATACACACACAGACACATGTACTTTGTCAATTATTTTAAAAGTCATTAAAATCTAATTCTGATTGAAATCAGCTCAAAGTTTTTATGCAACAAAAAAACATGTACTATATGCGTATCAAAAATAAAAATTTCTTTCCTAGCAATTTTTGACAAAATACCCAGTACTATATACACATACTGTACCTGTTGAGGCACATTGGTGGTATTAGGAGAGGGAGATGAGACGTATTGGATGATGTGATTAAGAAATCTCTTGTTGCTATTGAAGCAGACATCCTTACCTAAGAGAAAAAGAGCATTAATGAAGTCAAACTTTGTTTTAATAAAAAAGATGTGAGTGGATTTTAAACTACACTGTATGTATATGCATGCTATTACTTGGCTCCAATTATCACTCAATCCTTTTACTAATTGCTCAGCTATCAGTCCAGAATACTTATCCTTTGTACCATCAGACACATCTACAGAACAGAAACAAAATGGAGGAGAAAAGAGTAATAAAGAAAAAGGGAGAAAGAGAAAGGGAAAAACACTAATTACTACAGCTGCACGTGTAAAAAAAGTTCAAGGATGCAATTGAAATATCCACAAAAAACTTTAGCTTAGGGTTTCCTGTGAGCTACACGACATGCTTCACGAGTTGACAATTAATGTCGTTTAAAGCAACTTAAAAAATTTGTAAAAAATCTATTTTATTGTAATCATGCAGCTCAAACTTGCTAGTTGCTACGTAACAAAAAAACAAGTACACGTACACATACTGTACATGTACATGTATCAGAAAAAAATGATAAAAATGTATCTTTATCAATTTTGACAAAATTTGGCCTGAGACCATGCATGGTGTCAGGACAAACTCCTGATTATGCATGGTCAACTTTGAAAATTTTTGAGCATCATTTAAAAATCCAAAAAAAATCTAATTTTGATAAAAATCTGCTTAAACTTTCTATGCAACAGACATATATGTACATGTATGTGTAGCAAAAAATATAAAAATGGAAAATTCTATCCTTTTCAATTTTTGCAAAATTTGGCTCCAGACCATGTACTAGCACAGGGACTTTTGGCTGATTATTGAGTAACATTGAAAATTCGTGAAAAATCTAATTTTGATCGGAATCTGCTCAAACTTTCTATGGAACATGCATACATGTACATGTATACGTATCAGAAAAAATTATACAAATTGAGAATTCTCTCCTTATCATTTCTGTCTGATTTTTAACAACTAAGTAAATTTTCTAAATTCATCGGAGGGTCAGAGAGAGAGAGAAAGTGAGAGAGAAGGTAAGAAAGAAGGTGGTATGCATGGCATTTTGAATAATTGTTGCAACAGAGCTCAAACAAGAGATTTACAATTTGGCTTGTTCTCACTAAAATCAATTACTTTCCATCATTAATAACAAATAAGTTTGTTACCACATGCAGAATTTGTACAGTCAAATTTTGGAACAAATTTAAAATCAACTGACAAGAGCTCTCATTAGCACTACGCAAAATTCTGTGGGAAACCCTGCTTTAATACTAGTAACTACATGTACATTGTACACGTACTTCTTACCAGGACACTTGACAATGGCAGCAAGGACCTTATATCCTGTCTCACGTACAAACCTGTTGATGTGTTCCAGTGCAGTGAAGAGAAGATCAAGGAGCTCTGATGTAATGTGTGGCTCAAATGAGCTGCCACAACCTTCAACAGCATACTGTAGAGCACTGTGAGGAAGAGAAGAAGAGCAAAAAAAGATAATACATGATTAACATTAAACAAGAGAATAAAATTTAATGCTTTACTCTCATACTTACTTCATGTAAGTCTCTAAGCTCTTCCAACCAGCTGTTTCATGAAAGACATTAGAAGCTGTAGGAGGAGGTGAAGGACTAGCCTACAAATGAGTGAAATAAAACTAATTAATGACTCTTGTCATCTGTATAGCTAGGAACTATTAGTAATTATTTAAGTGAATTTAATTTTGTGAGCTCCCTACAAGTGCATTTGTACACGACTACACGAGTAAATTGAGTGGAAGATGCTATACATGATAAACATTATTTCCTTTACTTGAGCCCACCTCCCCCTCTCTCTCCCTTACACTTCTGTTCTCCTCTTGGTCTTCACTAGTATTATCTTCTTGTAGTTTCTTGACCAGCTCAGCATGATCGGTAGGATCAAGCTCCCTCACTATGTTATTCTTTATTCCACTCAACAAGACGTCTCTTAATTCTTCATAGACAGTTACACCATCCCACTTGCACAATCCACCAATGATTTCACCTAGCAATAATCACATGACATCACACCATACATTTTGTTTATATATTGGCAGAACAAAAATAGCAGAATATATACTTTATTCACAAAACTGCCAGTCATCACAACTAATTTATTTTTCATTTTAATAATGGTGAAGTAACATGCAACAATGTCTAACCAGTTAATAATCGAATTCTTGATTCATTGTGCTCCAACAGATGACTCACTAGCCCTTTTAAGTTATCCTTAAACTCTTCACTAGCTTTCTTTTTATCTATCAAGAGGTTAGTTGCTAACAGCGCTCCATGCTTCTCTTCCCATGTATTGCTTTCATCAGATGATGACAAAATGACTGAAAGAGAGGACTGGAGGTCTTTGAGATCTTCAGGGAGAGCCTGGTTAGTCTCTATCAACTTTTTCAGCTCTGAAAGACCTTTCTCTCTCTCTAAACGAGTCTTGCACTTTAAAAGAGACAGCACCAAAGAAATGCTGGAAGTGCTATCTGTCGCCATTTTAGAGTTTATCAGTTTAAACTTAACCCTCAAAATGGCGGTAAATGCAGCCGGCCACACGTGTTGACTCGTGTTATTACTCGAGCTCTGGGCTCTGCATGCTCTGTGGTGCTGGATAGTTTTTACTCGTCTATAACTCAGTAATAGATCTGATCTCTACAGCTAGTGAATCTAATCTCGTTAGTCGACTTTCGCCTCTACTGTGCGTGAGCAGCTGTTCATTATGGATACCCTAGTGCCAATTACTCTGCAGTTCCAGTGCCTAGTCTTCTTAGTGGATCATTTAAACGAGATACCTTCTACCGCGTTAGCTCAACTTCCTTGTAGAATACGCCATCAGCTCCTCCTTCTCTTACCAGCTGTCGACTTATGTCACCTGGAAATGTCACCTGGAAATGTCACCTGCTGTGGTCTCTGGCATACAAATGGATGAAATATGGAAAGAGCTCTATATAGAGAAAGTTGACCTTATAAAGAAGAAGAATGAGTATAATACTGAGTGCATTATGTCTATGCAAGATCTAGGCTCTAATTTTAATGTAACTTTGACACCAAAAGAAGGCTATTTTGATCTGGTGTTATCCATTGCCTTTAGCTCCCCTTCTGAATTCATGCCAGGATTCTTTGGTTGTCAGTGTGAGTATGCCCATGTTGTCTTTGATTTTCTTTACGGAATTAAGCTTCAACAAGTCTCTGTTCCCTTTTGCAAACCTCGATCAAGATCGCAATTGCTACACATTTGCACAATTTTTTCCAAGACGATATCTCGATCTAATGGAAGAATTTTTCAAGGCTAAAGAACTCCCCAACAATACATGGGAATATATAGAGCTTGTGGATCTTAACCATGTTATTAGCTTATTGGTAAATGTCTGTGGGGTGTCCATGAAAGTGTTTGATCAGAGTCATGTCCATGACTATGGCACTATGTCTCATCTCACGGAGGACAGTAAGGTTAATTTGGTTAAGCTCTTCAGTTCAGTTGAGTCTGTTGCAGTTGATCTTGGTGGGTATTGTTGCTGCTGTCGTGAGATATTTGAAGTCATTTTTAATCCTTCAACTTGCCGAGTGAAGACACTGATAGTTAAGAAAAGTGATGATGTTTGTGATTTACAGGAACTAAACGAAATAATCTTTCCCCATCAACTTGGACAATACCTTGAAAATGTGGACCTGACCACGTTTAAGTTTGAACATGATTAGAATAACTGGGTCGATACTTCCTCTGCAATACACATGCAAAAGAACATAGAGAGCATATGGATGTTGCGCTGTTCAATAGAAGACTCTGAAGGGCTTAATGTAGTCTCTTTTATGATGACCGAATTAAATGAATTCCGTCGCCTCAAAGAGCTATATATTAAAAATTGCACCATTCTGGATACTGCCCTAGAGTGTATCATGTCCTCTTCTTATCCTCTCATCATTACTATCACTTCTTGTGATTTTATTTCTGCAGATCTAGAGGAAAATGAGGGTATTTTTGAAGTAAGAGATATGCCGTTGAAGCTCATACCGCTGAAGAATGGGAAAATGAAAAGCCTCAAGATTAATGATTGCATTCTTCCTAAAAAGTTGTTACGTTCACTATTCTGTAACTGTTGAGACAGTGCAAATATGTTTTAACATTTTTACAAAAAGATTAGTTTTTATAAAACAAAAGTTTAGATCTAAATCTGTAAATCATAATAATAAAGCCCACGCAAATTGCTCCTAGGTGTGGCTCAATCATAGCTCAATGTTCACTGATTAAAAAAGTAAGTCGCTCATCATTTTCTGGCATATTATACATGCGATACATGTACACCTGCTCTTTCTTTCCCTTTAGTGGCTACCCCAACTGTTAGTGTATTACTAGAGGCTAAGGCTGAACTCGGTGAGGCTCTATTTTATGATCCAAAAGCAAATGAGCTCATTTGGGTTGACATTGATGGAATGAGTGTCAACTTCACCAGTTTGGATGAAACTGGAGGTAGTAGCAGTATAAATAGGAAACTTCAACTGAAGGAGAAGCCAAGCATTGCTATACCCTGCAAGAGTGGGAAAGGATTATTAGTGACTCTTGGGCGTAAACTGTGTATCATTAATCGTGACAATGGTAAAGAGAAAAATTAGCTTGAGATCTAACAGAATAAAATTATATTTTCAGGTGACGTGTTAAAGGAATTGATCTCTGTTGAGTCAGAAAAGGAGCGTAATTTTTTTAATGATTGCAAGTGTGACAGGTTGGGTCGGTTCTGGGGTGGAACAATGTGCCCTCCTACTACCCGTACGCCACCAATTCACATTGATAAAATAGGAAGTTTATATTCATACGATGGAGGTATTAAACTAAATGAGGCTATTACGATTTTAATTGTGTTTTATGCTTCTTTCTATAGTGTCTATTAAGCATCATTTACCTGGCATTGGCATGTCAAATGGACTGGATTGGAGTCCTGATGGAAAAACACTGTACTTTACTGAGTCACTCCCTCCAAAACATATCTATTCTTTTGATTTTGACGAGACAAATCCGGCCATCTCCAATCAAAGGGTAGCCATTGATTACTCTACTAATGTGGAGTTGGGTGTCCCTGATGGATTGTGCAGTGACAGTGAGGGCAAGCTTTGGGTGGCTGGAACTTTTGGTAAGAATAATATCATTCGCTGGGATCCAGTGACAGGGGAAAAGCTGTTGGAACTTCAAGTTCCTGTTTTGAGACCAACGTCATGTTGTTTTGGTGGTCCAAAGTATGACACACTTTATGTGACTTCAGGAATATTTGGTGCTGGACCTGAAGAGATTGAGAAGTTTCCTCTCTCTGGTAGTATATTTTCTGTGACTGGTCTTGGAGTCACTGGATTACCTGCTAACTTGTTTGATGACTCTAAATGTATTTGAATAGAAAATGGTTATATTATAGATCTATAATCATTGATATTTTCATGCACTGATATGTGATTTTACTAATTAAGATTTGCTATGTCAACTGTGCCTGTGGTTAGCCTGGGGGAGTGGAGGTGTGCCTAGAGCAGATAATTAAGAAACTGGAAGAAACAAGTAAGCACAGTGATTATAGTTAGTGAACAATTTATTCTTTTCCTATAGTGACTACTCCAACTGTTAGTGTATTACTAGAGGCTAAGGCTGAACTCGGTGAGGCTCCATTTTATGATCCAAAAGCAAATGAGCTTATTTGGGTTGACATTGATGGAATGAGTGTCAACTTCACCAGTTTGGATGAAACTGGAGGTAGTAACAGTATAAATAGGAAACTTCAACTGAAAGAGAAGCCTAGCATTGCTATACCCTGCAAGAGTGGGAAAGGATTATTAGTGACTCTTGGACGTAAACTGTGTATCATTAATCGTGACAATGGTGAGCATTAACAATGAAAATTATTATTGAAAGTCCATGTGCCTATACACCTGTCGATGTCAAGCCTTATTGCACATGTATATGAATATGATGCTTGCCGTAAGGTTTTATTAGAGTTGCTGCTCTAATGTAGAGTCCATGAGAAAATTACTGTAGGCTAAATTTTGCCAAAATCGTCAAAATTTTAAAAATTTTTCCAGCTACATATACATGTACTTATGGTGTGTAGAAAGTTTGAGTAGATTTTGATCAAATTGAATTTTTTTACAAATTTTTAAAGTTGTTTCAAAGTTCGGCTAAAGTCCCCATACTATATTGGGCCTAATAGAATTAGTTGACATTACTAATTCTCTTGTGCAAATTAGTCAGAAAATTATGCATCGAAAAGTTAAGGATATTTTGGAACCGATGCTTGTTTATAGCTCAAAAATTGGCAGTTGCAATCAGCTAGATATGATAGAACATAAGGCATTAATGTGTACAGGAAGTGTAATAAAAACTTATAACTATTAGAGCTATTGAAAAAATTGCATACTAGTATTTTTGCACTTAATATATAATTTTTATGACTGATAAATTAAATTGGTGATGCATTTACTTTATAATTTATGTTCAGGTAACATATTAAAGGAGCTGTTTTCTGTCGAACCAGAGAAAGAGAATAACAGATTCAATGATTGCAAGTGTGATAGACTTGGTCGATTCTGGGGTGGAACATTATGCCCTCCCTCTGGCCCACCACCATTCCCAACTGAAGGAAACTTATACTCATATGATGGAGGTACTACATAAATATGCATCAAATTGATTTTTTAGTATTATAGTTGTTACATATGTGTACAATGTTTGTGTAATTCCTATTTCTATTGATCTTTCCTATTCTTTATTGCAGTGTCTGTTAAACATCATCTATCTGGTATTGGTATTTCAAATGGACTGGATTGGAGTCTGGATGGTAAAACATTCTATTACACTGACTCACTTCCTAAAATACAAATCTATTCTTTTGATTTTGACGAGACAAGCTCCACCATATCCAACCAAAAGGTAGCCATCGATTACTCCACAAGTCGAGATCTGGGCCTACCCGATGGGTTGTGCAGGGACAGCGAGGGCAAACTATGGGTGGCTTCACCTAATGGAAAGAGTAATGTCACTCGCTGGGATCCAGTGACAGGGGAAAAACTGTTGGAGCTTCAAGTTCCTGTTGTAAAGCCAACGTCTTGTTGTTTTGGCGGTCCAAAGTACGACACACTTTATGTGACTTCAGGATTGTTTAATGCTGGACCTGAAGAGATTGAGAAGTTTCCTCTCTCTGGTAGTATATTTTCTGTGACTGGTCTTGGAGTCACTGGGTTACCTGCTAACTTGTTTGATGACTCTAAATGTATGTGATTCATTTGTATGAAGAATGTATTAACTCATTATTCTGGTTAGCTTTTTTGTGTGCTTGCGTTTCATTTATCCAATCATTTTATCAATGAATGATGACAAATAGGTAACAATAGGTATAGTGCACACACCTCCTCTTTGTGATTGCTGTCTATAGTGATGCAAAACTATATTACATTTTAATTAACCTCAATAACAACTTTGGCTTTTAAAATCAAAAAGAGAAAAGATTCAATGATTTATTCAAGTGCTAATGGAACTAAAAGGGTTCCCTTAATTGTTATATTTGCACTTCCAGTCAATAGAACTCGTTTTTCATTCCAATTCATTTTAACAGTTAGGTTGCCACCCCTGGAGGAACACTGACGTGCTTTCATGCTCTCTTTTTGGAACACTTTACTCCAATATGGACCCAGTGTTGTGTGAGCAGCGCCTAAAAAATTAAACAAATGATACAAATTTCCTAGGATTACATAGCAATAAAAGTGTATAAACAAAGCAGAGTCATTTTTGACCTTACGGGAAATATATTAACATAAATGTGTCAATGTTATAACTTTAAATTTATGCTGTATTGATAAATAACTATATAAAATTATTAGAGCTTATGCTCATACCTGTAACATGGTCTTCATTATTGCCCCACCAAGGAGCATAATATCTTGAATAAAAATCATAATCTTTGTCATTGGATTTCACTGTTACAATGATCCCTTTAACTTTGCTCTGTCTCAAAGCCAAGAGTTTTGTAAAATTAGGCAAAGGCAAAGATTCTAATTGAGTACGTGTTGTTCCATCAGGCAAACAAATTAAGAGTCTGTTTGAGGCACTACAATACTGACAGTCAGAGATATCAGAACTACCAACAACTAGTTTAATCAGTTCTGCAAAGTCATCTTTATTAGCCCTTTCACATGTTGAAGCAGGCAAATCAATAGTAAATAGGGTCTCATCGACTGATGCAGTTTTCGTAGCTTTCAGTGTACCACTCATTGTGTTGAAGTACAGCTCTTTATTAATATTTTCAAATACTGTCCAAATGACAGCTGCAGTTGCCAAAGTCCCATGTCCACACATACTCACTTCACATGTAGGGGAAAACCATCGTAATGAGAAATGGGAGGAAGTCTTGAGATCACAATGGTTGCTAATCCTATGTGGAAAAAGAAATAAATTATTTAATGACTTATAATTAATTCGACTAGTACTTGAGCCCAAATTAATGTAACTACAAACTAAGATGTCATAATAGTTCTACCATAAATAAATTTCATTAACCAATTGAATCACTGTCATTAGCCATATAGAAATAGTGTCAGTAGTTGATGTCACTGTGATTAGTTTGGGTGAGTACTATGTTTTGTGGTGGGTTAGTTTTATAAACAAAAAGTTAACAACACACAGAAAATGATTACATGTCATTAATGCACAAGCTCATAATACTTGTGTATGCATGTAATTATTCACATGTAAAATTACAGTACAGTGCTATGGCGATTTTGCTACAAAAATTTAATTGGTGTTTTTTTAAATTTTGTCTACATGTGCATTACTGCATGAGCATGCACATTAATGATTGATAGTTTTAATATTCACTTGCAAATTGCCAAATGGAAAAATGAAACCCCACCTAATTAAAATGCTATATGTATAACAGTGTTAAACGTAAAATTATTTACTGTAAAGATATTACATGTGTAAATTTTTTTATGCATAATTATGTAAACTATTCATTATTTTGGTAAAACTTCAAAATAGCCATTTATTTTTGGACTCACCACGCTTGCGTAGGCGGGTACTAAGCAGTTGGGTTGCCATTCTGTCTGTCATTCTGTCACAAAAATTCCTGTTAATTCCTAGTCAATATCTTTTTTACTGAGCTCTCCTGAGTTATAATTCTTTTTAAGCTTTGAGAAAAAGATAATTTATTTAGCTCCGTTGTATTTTCGTAGCAATCCGTGGTAGCAAAAGCTGAATATTTTCAAGAATAGACCACTTTTCCTAGCCAAATCTTCGTGTTTCACTCTATTAGGTCAAGATTAGCATTGATAGGTAGAGAAAAGTACCTAGATTAAAAAATATGTGGAGATTTTCTAATCTCTTTTTTGTTTGCGAGTTACAGTTGCTCAAAGTTTGTGATTTAGCCTCTTCGAAAAATTTTGAGGCAGAACTGGGGAAAGCAAGAGCAACCAAACTATCTCAGTCTCTTTTAAATATCCAGGCAAATTTTTTGTGCTTACTTTTTCTTTGAATAAACCTTCAGATGCAAAAATAAATTTCAGCTTTTCTTCTTTCTCCTACCCACGTGCCATGTTTATCTGCACTGCACTGCTAGGTGCTGACCACACCTATAATTTATTTTATGGATCAGTGCAGTAATTGGCTAATTGCATTGTTGCACTTTGTCAAAATCTATTATCCTTTTTTTTAATATCAAGTTGCTTATATATATAATATCATGATGGGGGCAGTACAAGTAACACATTATCCCTCAGGTGAATCTCAGCAGGCGAGTCCACGCACCATGGTGCTTCATTTCATGGGTTCCAGATCTACAGTATATTTTGTCACTTAAATTTTACATTTAGAAAAATTAATGTAAGATGTCAAATGATGCCATCACCCACACAACATGCATTAGCACTACTTACACTGGGGCAAAACTGACAAAAGCTGTTTCAGAGAGATTTATCTCACTTGCAATCTTCTGACAAAGATCATCACGCACAACTGAACCTCTTGGAAGTATACAGACCATTGTAGCATTGCCAGAGAACGGTCCAGAGCTAAATGCATCCACCACATAGGCCTCCATCATTAGATACTAGCCTTCAATTAGATAGCTTGGCAGGGAATAACTCTCGAGAGTCGGGAAAGTCGGAATAGCATGTGACAGACACTGTAAATATTATTGTTTATAATTAATTATACTGAACGAGTTGGGCGTGGTAAGCATTGTTATGGCTTCATGTATATGTTCACAGTGTTCCACTCAGACATAACTATGCAGTATGGATGTAAGTTACTCATGAATCAATAAAAATAATGCCATGAACATGAAAAGTGTGTTATGTAAAGGAGAGTAACCTATCTCAAATTCTATTCATTCTCTTATATTAAATTACTTATTAGACCACTTGACTATTCACAGGTCCACACATCTACTTATGGAACTTGAATTGAAAATAATGATAATCTATTATTGTAAGTTACTGCTTTACTTTCAGCTTTGCTAATTCATTTACACAGCTAGCCGGCTCATCCCAGAATTTGAATGTTTAAGTCTAGAGCTTGTTCTACAGTAAACCGTCTGATTGACAATTCGAAATCATGCATACCTAACTACACAACTGATGGGAAGCAAAACCAAAGCATGCAACAGCATCTTTTCTTATACAGTAGTACTAGTACTAGTAGTACTCATTATAGTATTTATGTAGTACTTTCTTTTATACAATATGTTCTACAGCAAACCGTCAAATTGACAATTATGCATAACTGCACAACTGATGGGAAGGCAAAACCAAAGCATGCAAGAGCATACTTTTCAGATCTATTTCAATTTCTCTTATACCATAGTACTTGTTATGGAACAGTGGCAGGGTCTGACTGGCTGTTATAATAGCTACGATGCCAAGCCATGCACAACTGGAGCTATAGTAGAGTACTCACAAATTAAAGTTCGCAGCACATAGATCTAAAATCTTTGTTATGAATCTATTGTAAATATACTACAGGTATTAATAATTATTGTAATAATTACTCATTATGTTAAATCTATAGTCACTTTGCTATTGTTTACTGGCCTGCTTGTGTCATCAATGGTGTTTGCTCACATAATGTACAGTTGCAGCTACAAAAATAACGCTCAATACATCCAGTTGGGTTTTGGTTGACAAAATAACTTGATTGATCATAATATAGTTCTGGTGGGTGCATTGAGTATCGATCACTCCTCCAGTTATTGCACAATTTAATGAAGAAGTATATGAGTATTAGGAATGAAGGAATGAAGCTTAAGACATACTGAATTATATACACTTGGTTGCTCGGTGATTTACTAAATGTGAGTTGATATTGGTAGAATACAGTAAAGTTGATGATAAGAATGAGCAAAAAAATAAAGGCATCCAGCCTGTTGTGAACCGTCTGTTTGTATGGACGTAGTGTGACTGTTATTCCCAGGGCAAGTGTGATTAAGATCTGCTGTAAAATCAATTGACTAGCATAATCCATTGAGAAAATTGAAGTAGCAAATAGGCTTGAACGGAGAAACAAATACCAACCAGCATACCAACGATAGTCATGAATTCCAAATGAAAATCTCCAAATTTTGAATTTTGAGCATGGCCCAGTTCCTCTTCTGTATTTTTTGTCTTTAAGATCTTTCTGGAATGGGACAAGAAGACATTTGTCAAGAAATTTATCCAAATACCACATAATGTGACCAAATTTTGTGGAAGCATTGTTTTGCCTTTCGGTATGATTGTATCTTAGTGCTAGCAAAATAAATGGAAATCCCATGATAACAGTGATGAGAAAAAATATAGCCAGCCAAGCAAACCTCCAGTGCGTCATGTTACCGGGATATTCCAATTTTCCTTCCAAATACAAAACTTTATCAATAACTGTTCCATCTGAATCATATAAGTTTGTTGGTGCTAGGAGATAAAATGTGATAATATTCAATTTTGGGAAGGACAGTATCACACAAGCAGCAACAAGAGTTGGGATAGAAGAGTCTCTTCTAAAACGTATCATTCGATTTATGAAAGCAAGCCTGCTAAAGCAGCTGCAATTTGCAATGGCAGCTGCAATGCTTTCTGAGAAGTGTAAACGTCGAAGACATCTCCCAAAAGAGTCTGATATTTTGTCTAAGTTCTTAGCAACTAATATCAGGGCGACAACTGGTAGTAAAGCCATCAATGCCACAATGTACTTTAAAGCCAAAACACTAACCATCTCCATATCTTTGGCAAAACAGAAATTGTTTTTAAAGTACGTTAAATCAAGTTTCCAAAATGCATTTACGATCTGATAACAATTCGCTGTGCTATTAACAAAACTGCTACTTATTGGAATGGCCCCATACATATCCAGTTTCAATGTTGTCGTTGTCATTTGTCCAAAAAAGATAAGTGGGTTTAATGCACCAGAAACAAGAGAGAAATCAAATATGAAGATGAATAGCAAAAATACCAAAAGGATGGTAACATTTAGTACGAAGTATAGCCACATCTCACTTTTGTTACACTCAACACAATCATAGTTCTCACTGTTAATGGCAATTGAATAGTTTTCATTGCAAGTAGAGCACATCACTGATGATTGATCACGATTGTCAGCACACTGGTTGTGTAAATTAACGTTCATTAGCTCACCTACATGGGTTGTGCTGTTGTAAAAGCTTCTACAGAAAGTGCAGAGTCCAATAACCCAGCCTTTGTCTTTCCATTGGCCAACCCAGTACCCTCTCTGAACCTTTATGATATTACTCCCGTTACACTCGGCTTTACCTCCATAGCAAGATTTTATCTCCGTTTCGTTGCCTTGATAATTTTCTACGTACAGTTCGTTCACGTATTCTCCTTCAGTTAAAAGTACAACAGCTGTGATCACAAACACAAAGAGAACTGCTTCCTTCATCATTCTTTCATAAATTTTACCTCCAGTCCTCGATCCGTATCCGTAGGCGGCCACCCAGAAATAACGCGCAAATCAAATGAGCCAGTAAATTAATGCAATAATAGTCACCCAACCAAAAACATGCCTGACTAGCAAGGAATAATACTTTTCCACAAACAATTCATTAACAAGAACCTCCACAGATAATTTAACTAATGATAAAAATTGCAATTAGATCCACGTTATAGCAAAAAATAATATCAACAATATTTCTAATCAAAATATTCGATTGGATCGCTTTCTTTCTTGTCCAACTGGTAGGAGCTGAGAGTTACCTCTTGATCAAGACTCTGATAGACACGTAACATAACGTAATCATTAGTACCAACACATACCTATAAGAAACATAAGATATGTAACAATAACGATAACAATAACAATAGCAACAATAACAAATAACATGCAACAATAACAATAAATACATGTATGAATGTTAGACAATAAAGTTTCATAAATGAGGCCAAAAATTCTTCCATTTATTTTCACTAGTTCATTAAAATGAGTGAAAATCCTGTGAATAAAAGTTATGTTTTAGATCACAAAATCAGGATTAAAAGCATAACAACAGCTACAAGTAAAATATTTAGTAATAATTTTAATTAACACTTCCTAAACAACTTTTAAAAAATAAAGCAATGAGTAGAGTAATGCAGGAATTTTAAAAGGGTTAAAAAATTTCATGAATTTACCAAAATAAAGTATAAATACTTCCGGCAGTTTGTCCTCACGTGAGCGCATTACGCATTGAAACCATCCTAGTTTTTCAGGAACTGGTTAATTATTAAAAAATAAAAATTAAGATTGATCGTAATGGAGACAAATGGAGATTGTTAAAAAATACTTTGTGGGACTCTAGTAACTACATTGGATGACAAGACAAGCTAGTATGAGCCTTTATGGCTACTTCTAATAGTGGACTAAGGATTTATGTATATTAGTATTTTTATGGAAGTTTTAAAAAGTTATAGTGTTTAAAAACAAAGACTATTAATAAGCCAGGATGCCGTTACTCTCAAACAACTAGATGTGCACCTTAAAAACGTCTCAGTCTAGGCATAGATATCCATAAATGTAGATACTTTGTCATAAAACTTTCGGGTATATATAGTCTAGAGTCCCAAAAAGAATTTTTAACAATCTTCATTCGTCTCCATTACAGTATTCAAATTTCAATATCAATCAACTAGATCTTGGTAAACTAAGTTGGTTTCATAACGCACTCATGTGAGCTGTTTCCAAATTCTAATTAAAAAAAACGACCAAATGGTCTAAATAATTATTTAAATTAATTGAAACAAATTGTGATAAAAACAAGAGAGGCTTAGACACAGATTAAAAGATGCTACTAGTAAAATTGCTCTGTGTATAATAGAGTGGTTTCATATGACGTCACGGAATGCGTCATAATTACTTCCGTATGGCAAAATGGCTACTTTGCCATTCATTTGTACAGCGCTATAAACTCTTCTGGCAGGCTTCCTTAACTATGAGCATAGCTAATTCATGCTGCTCTTTCATTTGCCTGGACCCAGGGATGCAAAGGAAGCAAAAAGTCCTCGGATAGAGAACCAGTGAAGCGGCTGAAGTGAACACAGTCTTGTCTTGTTACTCCTATAATTATTGCTATCGCTACTTTTCTGCTTACTACTGCTAGAATTGTACTCCTTTTCTGCCTTGTGCTATATGAAAGAAGCTGTAGAAGAAGCAACTTTACTGCTGTAAACAAATGAGGCTCATCAATTTTTGCCATACAGAAGTAATTATGACGTCAAAAGGTGACGTCACTGAAACTGCTCTATATCTATGCAACCATGCTAAAAGTAAAGTCAAACCTGAAATTCTCCCAACCCATTAACCAAACGGTTAACCTAACCGAACCTAACCCTAGGAAGGGCACCCAATTAAAATAGGTTGGTGTATATTCTATTTGAACCACTGACCCCAAAGTGCTCCTTACTTTAATAAAGTAATTTACTCCTGCTACCACTTGAGTGCAGTATGCAATGGCCCTGAACTCAGTAAATTTTCTACCAGACTTTTCCTCTACGGATACTCTAACCTGAAGATATTTTCAATAGTTGAACATTATAAACTGATTTATACTTTATCTACTAGTTTCTGTATGGCCGCATCGGCAGGTAGTTCGTCCCTCAACCCTCCAGCTACGACCGCCATGTTTCACTTAGAAGTCAGACAGAGACTCACTGACTCAGCACAGTCAGCAGTATGACTGTATGATGGAGATCACATGAACATAAATTTTTTATGACGTCACTGGCGGCATGGAACGAATAAAATAATAATGCAAAATTCCCAAGGGCCAAGTGGACCTGAGTAGTGAAATCCATTTTCTTCTTGATTTCTTTGTCAGGGTAGATTTTTTCTAAATGAAAGGCAAGAAAGATAACGAGGAGAGTCAAAAGCTATCTGCCCTTACATAAGTTACATCATTCTTTCTGACTATGGACATCTTGAGATTAGTGAGGGACAGTGTAAACTCTACTGTTAGCTTTAATCAATGAGGTATCATTATCCTTCTTTTGGTTATTTTTTTTTCTCTCTCTCTCTTTCTTAAATTTATTAAATATGTATACACTTGTTATCTCTCACTTAGAAATCTTCTCAAAAACCGATTGTATAAAAAATTGCTCAGTCTCATGTCTACATGTAATCAACATTTTTCAGTTATTAGAATCAAATGGTATGTACTCCTAATTCCAACATATTGTCACTGCCTCTTAGTGTCACTAGGTAACCTGTTGCTTCACAGTCCTTCTAAAGGACATTTCATGAAATTATTATTATTCTTATACGAGAAATCAAGTGGTTACCAGCTAACAATTTAGCATCACCAAACCAGCTACTGTTACTAATAAGACTCTCCTCTCTTCCTGCCTTTCCACCGTTAGTTATTGACCATCATTACTAAACAATTAATGTGTACATGTACATACACATTGGTATCATGAAAGTGACATAACAACCGGTAATCTTAGTTTGAGTGTCTCAGTATACAAGGTAACGAAAGAGGAACTGACACATTCTCAGACAATAATGATTCCTAGAGCAATTACTACAAGAGCATTAACATCAACAACACGGTTTACATTGCTGTAGCCTGCAACAAGTACTAGGCTACTATGGTGATGACGAAGGAAAAGAGAATCATAACTTATGCTTGGACATTCAATGACAACAATGAAGGGACTCTGGAACACATACAGACTATAACGTTGATGAGGTTGACAACATTACATTTGGAAGGACAGCAAATGAAATCTTTCTCACCTTTACAACACACAATGGACTGTCACTGACTAGATTACCTTCTAGAGTGTATAAAAGGGACTGTAATCATTGGGTCTCGTTCTTCATCCTGTAAATATTGGAACCAATTTCTTCCTATACAAACTGCCAATTTTAATAGACCACTAGTTGTTTATAAATAATTGATTGATGTCACAGGACATTTTGAAATGTTTCAAACTCTTCCAACATCAACAATCAAAGTTTCATCATCAACAACAAACACTTCATTGCTATAGCTAAAGCATGGGAATGATCAGCAGTTTCTCTGACACTGAACTAACCGTCTATAAATTTCATGGAGCCACCTATAACTTATTTCAGCAAATCACAACGGATCATTCTTCATCTTCCATTAAAGTGTTTTATAATGTAATGTCTGGGTCCTGGTTGATGGTAATAGCCAATGAATTATCTGTTGATCTGTATATGCAAGTAGAATGATGCAAAATAACTTTAATTGTGATTGATAGCAGATTTATTACTTTCCTTTAGTTTGTTATTTTGTTGTGTAGAATAGCTATTGATTATAGTTTGTAAATATATCCTTACGTAATGATAAAAAAGTTCAAACCAAATAAGTTCAAAAGTCTGTACTGTACAAAGATTACTTCATTCATGGTTTTGGGGGCTGACTTGTCTTTACAGCAATAGAATTGACAGTTTTGCTGAAATAATATGCCATGTTTTTTTCAATTTTGTAACTAAAAAATTGTGATAAAATTAGCTATCATGATTCTTTTTGTGACAGTTTTATGTGTCTCCTTTCTACGGTGTAGAGCAATTGTGTGTCTAGTTCTTTTTATTATTCGGATCATTATTCCTCTTTTTCTACATGTATGAGTACAATGCATCTAATTTGACCAAGAAGCAATCATTAGTATCCAATGAATAGACGCTTGCATGATATTAGATGTAATGCTGCTTTGATAGCAAAACATCTGCTAATTAATTTTGTTTTGTTTGTGTAAGTTGGTAGATTGTCTATGTTACCTATAATTACTTTCTGTGATATGATAACAAAGGACTTCTGTACATCTAATTTCAATCATGCTATAATAAATAGCTACTTTGATAGATGTAGAGTCTGTATCAAAACAACATGGCTTCATTGCTGCTAGCGGGATGTTTCATTGCTCTTATTAGCACTGCTAATGCAGTTGAAGAAACAAAAAGTATGTTACATTAATAAAAATTTATATTAGATAGCTCTATTTTTATAGTCTGTATTCCTCGTGACTGTAAGGAAGTATATCAACAAGGTAAAACATGCAGTGGAGTATATACTATCAAACCTGATGAATTACCAGCGTTTGAGGTAATACGATACTGCCATCAATAGAATGTGATTTTTTAACAGGTATATTGTGATATGAGTAATGGTGGCTGGACTGTATTTCAAAGGAGAATGGATGGCACTGTTAACTTCTATCACAGTTGGGCTGACTATGCTAAAGGGTTTGGAGACCTCAATAGAGAGTTTTGGCTTGGGCTTAATAAAGTAAACTGACTTACAAAAAGCAGGACTAGCCTACGTGTTGACTTGAAAGATTTTGAAGAGAATAAGAGATATGCTACTTATAATAGCTTTCAAGTAGGAAATGCAGTCACAAAGTACACACTACATGTATCAGGATATGGAGGCAATGCTGGTGATAGTTTGAGCAATCATAATGGAATGAAGTTTTCTACTTATAATGAAGACAATGATGCGTATTCAGGAAATTGTGCAGCAACATATAAAGGAGCTTGGTGGTACAGTCATTGTCACAGTTCAAACCTAAATGGTCTATATTTGGTTGGTTCTCACACTTCATATGCCAATGGTGTCAATTGGTATCATTTTAAGAAGCATTATTATTCACTGAAGACAACTGAAATGAAGATTAGAAGGAAATAATTTACAAAATAATATTAACGATCTTAGTTTGATGCATATCTAATTGGGTAAATAATTCAGAGCATTTAAAGCATAGTTCCAAGAAATAAACTAATTGGTTTGTTGTTAATAATTAGCAGTATGTAGCATTGAATTACTCCATTGTTCATTGATACTGACTACTACCTTCACTGGCATTCAATTGGATCTAAATATACAGCATGGCACCTCAGGATACAATGTATCAATCATTTTCGATCATGTTTATTTTAGTAATATTTTCTCTAAATTACTTCTATTTATCTAACCTTGCATGATAGCATTTTTCTTTTTCCAGTCATTATTTCATGATGCTGCAGAAGTTAGTGTAGTTTTTGCATACTGATTGATGTGATTCAATTGAGGGGGTCTGTACATCAAAAATTAACATAAAAAGTTTTAGATCTACATATAATGCTAATTGTGCATGCATATCCATTATGCATTTAGTTGTCGTGAAGAGAAAAACATATATGTACATGTGTTTGCCTGTAAATCAGAAATGCATGCATTCATGATCTTTCACCAAAATGGCAATGATCTTAGTCAGGATTTCCAACAAAATTCTGGCATAGTGCTCATACAGGTTTTTGTCAGTAGATTTTAAAGTTGCTTTGAAATTTGATAAAATACAATTTAGATCTAATTATGCTTTAAAAATAAGAAGTAGCAGGTGAAACTTTAAAGGATATTCCTTTTAAATTTATGTACCAGCTAGGTGGTGTATGTCATTCATTTATTCAGAAACTTTCTTTATCTTTTCAGCGATACTTATACCATGATTGACATCAGCATCAACCCTTGCCAGTGTAAGGGGTAAAGGACAAGAACTCCTACTCTGTGGTTGTCTGGTTGACACTGTGACATTCTTCCAGGAGGTAGCTTTTATAGTCTAGCTGTGCATGCAAATAATGCAATGAGATCACTACTCACAGACACACATAGACTAGTTCATCTGTTCATTAACAAGTAATCCAGCTTCAGTATGTACCACTGAATTTAAAAAGTAGTGAAATCATGAATATGGTGTGATTGATGCTTACAAAATAGACTAATACAATAGGTCTAGACAAATTTTGATTTGGACATAAATCTACCTCAATATTTTGAGAGCAAAATAATTATAAAGGTCTCTTGACTCTTATGAAACAATACAAAGCACAATCAGTGTAAGTTACTTATTAGAAACAGCTTAAACTTTCTACATATCATTAGGACATTGATATGTATCAGTCAGATGGCAATGTTACGAGAGGCAGCTATTTTCAATTACTTCAAAATACTGAATTTTAAAACCCATCTTCTGAGAATCTCATGACAAATGTTCATTAAATCTAATCGCACATATTATATGGGTTTAAGATTTTTTAGTTGTTTTCTTTTTTTAGAGATATCACAGTATGCATGTACATTGCTACCAGCAATGATCAATATAAATAGGATAGCCTTTTTATCTCAACAAGTAATAGAAGTTTTTGGCCACAGCTAACAGTTGAGCCTTGAGCTAATGATGGTAACAACTAGTGTACCTGTCTATATCTATATCACAGTGGTCTGCTTTAGTCTGCTATTAAACTCGCCACACAAGACTGCATTGATTTTATGGTCTGGATTTAAATAATTATATTGTTTGTGGCTTTCTCCTTAAATATTATGACTTCAGAGTTCAACCAGAAAGTACAGACCATGGGCTAAAGTCCACTAATTATGCCATGAATATCATTACTATTTATTCTGGATAATCATAAACATTATGTCATTTTCAAAGGTGAAATGACATTTGGTGCATCTAATAATAATTTGCTGTTTAATGATAATTGTGATATAATATTAATTGGTTAGTTCTTGGTAATGTCTTATGCAATATGATACAGTATGGTAGATAAAAATATACTGGTACATAATCTATGCATCTTCTCCTAGCCATTATGAAAAAGTACCTTAATTCTAGCCTTTTGGTTTGTATTAGCCCAATTTTTTTGGGCAATAATTTCAAAAATCCAAATTTGATTTAAAACACCTCATAGTTATACACAATTCCAGCTCCTTCTAATTTTTGACAAAATTTGGCCAAAGTCCTTGTACTGTAGTACAGGGCCTTTGGCCCAAATTTAAAAGTTTGAAAATAACTTGAACTTGATCAGAATGACCTCAAATTTGAAACATGTAATAACATCATGTGCATGCATCAAAAAAATTAATAATAAAGCAGAAAATTTTCTCCTCTTCATTTTTGACAAAATTCTGCTAAAGTTTCTGTACTATGCTTTGGCCCAATTTTTGAATAACGTTTAAAATCAGTAAAAAAACCTTGGATGAGCTCAAATTTAAATTAAAACATGTATAAGCTTATATATAAGGAATTCTCTCTTACTAGTCATTTTTAAAAAAATTGGCCAAATACCATGCACAAGGAGGGTAGTCTCACGCAGCCAGACCATTTCCCAGCCTACAGTCATTTGGGTTCCAAATGACTGTAGGCTGGGGAATGGTCTGGCTGCATAAGACTACAGGCCTGAGGGTACATGCATAGTTTTGTTAATAACTTAATTTAAGCAAGAGTGACCTCATTAGCAGATTAGCTCATAAACACTTCTCTATCATTATTCTTATCATCACTATATCATTGTGATAATTGAAACATGATTTGGCATATAAGCTGCAATTTGCTTGGTTCAATCTTCAATTGTCTGCAAGGTTTACCATGAATAAGGAAGAGGCAAGCATTTATCACCAAATGTCCAATTTTCAATTGGAAGATGGTCTCAAGTTATTAGATGTTCTTTCTCCACGGTCTAATGACAGTGTCCTTGATATTGGCTGTGGTACTGGTCGACTGTCTATGATTCTTTCTGATAAACTGAGAGATGGTGGAAAATTGATTGGAGTCGATCCTGATTCAGAAAGAATAAAGATAGCAGCCATTGAAGGAAAAGGGTATACTAATCTCCAGTTTATGGTAGGATCTGATCAAACCTTTCCTGAAGATCAGTACGATATAGTTTTATGCACTGCTGCTATCCACTGGATTAAAGACAAACGGGAAACTTTCAAAAGAGTCTACAATAACCTTAAACCTGGAGGAAAGTTTGGATTTAATACGTTAGTTAATGGGGTGCCAGAATTAATGAAAGAAATAGCTCAGTTGTGTGGAGCACAAGTCTATGATGCAGTTGTGAATTCCATTTACTTTGAAGATGGTGACTACTACAAGCAATTGGCTGAGGAAGTTGGGTTTAACGTGCTGTATCTTGACACCTGTGCTAAAGAGTATACTCTACCTAGCATTGATGCTTTCATTGATTTTTATTACAGCGTGTTTCATGGAAAGTTTGATCGCAATGATCCAAATCTAGTTGAACTCAAGAAGAGATACAGTGGTCAACCCATATCATGGACACTGCATCGTTTATTTGTCATAATAACAAAACCTTCTACTGCAGACTAACTAAACTGTGTATCTCTGCAAGCCTGTATTGTTAATGTAATAATTCTTTTTTTGTGACAGTTTAATATGATTTCTGTTACTCCTTTCATACAGAGCAGAGCAATTTTTGTGTTTAGTTCTTTGTATTATTAGGATATTTTGTTATTGCTATTTTTTAATAGTTTATCTTGTAAAACCTAAAAGCAAGGGATAAGTAACCAATGAGCAGATATACAGCAGAAAGTGATGTTATTAAAATCATTTGTTTGCAATCTATATTGCTATAGCTAATATGATAGCAAAAACACCTGTTGATTAATTTTCTTTGCGAATGTTAGTACATTCGTCAAGTGGCATGCACATTGGATTGTTTATGTTATCTAATTACCTTCTGTCCTATGATAACAAAGGACTTCTGGCAATAATAAATAGCTCTTGCAATAGATGTAGAGTCAGTATTGAAGCAACATGGCTTTATTGCTGCTAGGATCTTTCATTGTTCTTATTAGCACTGCTAATGCAGTTGAAGAAACAAAAAGTATGTTACATGAATGAAAATTTATATTAGATAGCTCTATTTTATAGTTTGTATTCCTTGTGACTGTAAGGAAGCATATCAACAAGGTAAAACATGCAGTGGAGTATATACTATCAAACCTGATGAATTACCAGCTTTTGAGGTAATACAATACTGCCAGGTTATTATTGCAATTTTATTAACAGGTATATTGTGATATGAGTAATGGTGGCTGGACTGTATTTCAAAGGAGAATGGATGGCACTGTTAACTTCTATCGCAGTTGGGCTGACTATACTAAAGGGTTTGGAGACCTCAATGGAGAGTTTTGGCTTGGACTTAATAAAGTAAACCGACTTACAAAAAGCAGCACTAGCCTACGTGTTGACTTGGAAGATTTTGAAGGGAATAAGAAATATGCCACTTATAATAGTTTTCAAGTAGGAAATGCAGTCACAAAGTACACACTACGTGTATCAGGATATGGAGGCAATGCTGGTGATGATTTGAGCTATCATGATGGAATGAAGTTCTCTACTTATAATCAAGACAATGACATGCACTCAACAAATTGTGCAGCAACATATAAAGGAGCTTGGTGGTACAATCGTTGTCATAATTCAAACCTAAATGGTCTATATTTGGTTGGCTCTCACACATCATATGCCAATGGCATCCATTGGTATCATTTTAAGAAGCATCATTATTCACTGAAGACAACTGAAATGAAGATCAGAAGGAAATAATTTACAAATTGATATTAACATTGTTAGCTAGACTAGTTAAATGCATAGATATTATTTTGATTGAGTAGATATAGCTTGGTTTAATTTATAAATTTTAGAGCATTTAAAGCATAGTTCCAAGAAATAAATCTGTTGTTACTAGATGATTACTATTAACCTCTGCACCATTACCACAGCAGACTTTTAAGGCTTGGTATATTTAAATAATTTCTCGATAACTAAAATAAACTTCCTATAACATTTATGTTTCATAATTATTGTAAGCAAAAAGATCTATATGCTCTGATATTATGCTTAATTTTTGTGAATATCACAATGAGTAAATCAGTAGTTATCTAAATGGTATTGTCCCATTTTTAGATGACCATAACTTATCAATTTTAAGCCCCAAATCAGCTCATACTTTCTACACATCTTAAGGACACTGATACACATTAGAATATGTATGTTTCTGTGGCTGATTGGCTCTAAAGAAAAGGAGCTACATATACCATCACCTCAGTATAAGTTTATGCATGCTGTCCAAGTTTTATGCCATGCCAGACTTATAGAATAAAAGCACCACTTTAGTTCCATCAAGAGCACATAATATCATTATATACTCTTGGTTCCATGCAACTAACTACTTTAAGTATTGATGTATCGATAATTAGAACTTGTGAAATCTCAGTAGCCCATTTCTAATTAAGCCCTAGCTAGTCATTGACTTTGTTGCCAGTACCTTTGTTGTGGACAATTTATACACAGTACTACTCGAAGTTATAAGTCTTTACATGTACTTTTAGCTTAGCCACATTAAAGCTTGACCACAAATTGCATCTTGCATGTGCTTCATTAGACTCACCACAGTCTGAGTCCATCACCTTCAATCAAGACATGACCATGAGTATGTCTCTCCTGTTAGTAGTTGTTCTCTTATTCTTCAGTGGCTCCTGCAGTGTCTCCTCTCATCAGTATTATGTGTCTGATGACTGCAGTTCAGTTACTCAGTCACCTTGTAATCCTTTATCAGTGTATGCTGGGGATATGTCTCATTACAGTAACAGCATTTTCTACTTCATTGGAACTAGCTATATTAGCATTGTTGATATGACTGCAGTAAAAAATGTTACTCTACATGGACTTGATCATTCTCCTGTTATTTGCTGCAGGAATGAAGCTTCTCTTTCAGTTCATAAGAGCAGTCACATCACTTTTTCAAACATATCTGTTATCAATTGTCCAGTGGTTGTTAGGTCATCCAATAATATTACAATAACTAGCTCTTTCTTCATTACGGATCAACTCAATGCTAGATATGGCATTACAGCTGTTAATGATTTTGATGTTACTGTGTCATCCTCAGTTTTTGCTGCCTATGATTTAGGTATTACGTATATGCCCCTTGCAGTATGTAGCAGTGAATTACTCCATTACTCATTGATACTGATTAATGTTAACTTCACTGGCAGTCAATTGGATCTAAATATACAGCATGGTACCTCATACAATGTATCAATCATTTTTGATCATGTTGATTTCAGTAATATTTCTTTAAATTACTTCCATTTAGGTTTGGGTGATAGCATTTTTTCTTTTTCCATCATCAAGTCATTATTTCATGATTCTAAAGGAGTTAGTGTAGTTTTTCACAAAAATTTTAAATCAAACAATTGCAAATCTCCTGGTAATCAGCTAACTTCTGCTCTTATGATTGAGGACAGTAAATTTTACCATAATTTATATGGATTTGAGATCAATAATGATGCATATTATCTAAAACTACCAGTGAAACGGACAATTAACTATCACTTTGTTATTAAATCATGTTCAATGCGTGAAAATACATATGAAGGCTTGATCATCAATGGAAAATTTATGAGATTGACCCAAATTGATATAGTAGATGTTGAACTTAATGGAAATGGAGGAAATAAGATAACAAATGGTAATTTTATCAGTCTCAGTAATGTTACTGTTGCTAACAGTCACTCAACAGGATTGACACTTAGAGGATCATTTGTAATAATTGATAATGGTTTAAGGTTCAGAAAGAATACAGGAGTAGTCGGAGGAGGAATAGCAATAAATGACACATCACGGCTGATATTAACATCATCAGCTTACCTGGAGTTTATTGATAATCATGCTTCTTATAAAGGTGGAGGGATTTATGTTGATGAGTCAACAGGTAGTAGCATAAAATTAAATGTACCAAACATACCACTGACATTAATAAACAACAGTGCTGGATTAGTTGGTGATGATATGTATGGTTACTATAGATCTAAAGATGATTATCAATTTCATTTAACAAATCCAAGCATCAGTTCAACAGGTAATGCAAAAGATATATGTTTTTGTGATCGTCATTCTATTGCTATGTATGAAAACTGCTTAGTATTTGAAAGGGATCAACAAATTTATCCAGGTCAAACACTAAAATTTTATGTGGCTTTGTATGGTTATGATTACTTTGCATCACTAACTCCAACTGATGGTATAGTGAACGTATATAATGATTCTAGCAGCTGGCAACTACTCAATCAAACGTATATTGTTAATAATTGTTCATTGATAGAATACACACCAAAGCTGGTTCATACAAAACATCGAAGTCACATATTGCTTAAATCTTTAATTGATGTTATTGGTTTTTATTATACTGCTAATGAGTGTCCCATTGGTTTCAGTATAGACAGTTTGCAAGGTGTTTGTACTTGCAGTCAAAGTGTTTCCAGTGAGAATGTGACTTGTGATATAGTTGATCAAAGTATTAAGCACAATGGTCTACTGTGGATTGGAATATATGATACTAAGCAAAATGATCCTATTGCTTGTATTGTCAATGAGGACTGTCTCCTCTATTGTTCTCCTAATCCTGTTACCTTTCAGTTGAATGACACTGATACTCAATGTGTGGATAATAGAGGACAGAGAATGTGTGGATCATGTAGAGAGAGGTACAGTCTATTAATGGGATCAAACAAGTGTGGCCATTGTCATAATAATTATATGTTAATAGCTTGGATTGTTCTGTTTGCAGTGATGGGTGTACTACTTGTGGTTTTACTGATTGCTCTCAATTTAACAGTATCAGTGGGTACACTCAATGGTCTATTGTTCTATGCTAACATTATCAAGTTATATGAGCCAGTCTTTTCAAAAAAAAGAGCATTACCAGTCTTGAGTCAAGTGATATCATGGATTAATTTGGATTTTGGGTTTGAGATATGTTTTTATAATGGTATGGACAGTTATGCTAAACAATGGCTTCAATTTGCTTTCCCCCTCTACCTGTGGATCATTATTATTATTGTCATACAGTTGTGTAGGAAATATGGTAAGATATCAAGACTAATGGGGACTCATGCTGTTCCTGTTCTATCTACACTTACTTTTCTCTTATATACTAAACTAGTACGTACTATTGTTATTGTACTACACAAGCGTGAGGTAACTCTTCACTGTACAAATGAGTCAGTAAGATCAGTTAGTTTATGGTATGAGGATCCTAATGTTGAATATGCTAAAGGGAAGCATGCTGGACTCTTTGGATTTGCCCTATTGGTCTCTGTTTTCTTTGTCATACCATACACGCTTTTCCTATTATGTCATCCAGTGCTTGAGAAGCATTTGTCACATTTTAAATTGTTTAAGAGATGGAGTCATTTCAAGCCTATTATTGATGCTTATAGTGGCCCAATGAAAGATGATTATCGATTTTGGCCTGGTATACTATTGGTGGCTAGGATACCTGTACTTTTAACTGTTACCTTCTTGCAGACTGAATCACATGTCTTGCTATTGGCAGTAGCAGCTATTATCCTCTTGCTTAGTTTCATTTTTGGTGGCGTGTACAGGAAGAAATTAAACAATATCATTGAATTTTGGTTCTTACTAAACTTATGCATCATGACTTCATTATCTGTAGCCTTTAATGATGATAGTAAAGTATTAATCCGGTACAATACTTGTTTATTTGTTTTTACAATAAGTTTTGCTTTGATTGTTGTATATCATCTTTATCTGCAGTTATTACACACAAAATGTTATGATGCTCTAATTAAGAAGTTATGCAAGAAACAAGATAAAGATGACGAACCTCTATTAGATGTAACTGAAGCATATAAAACTGCTGATCAACAAAGGAGAGAAATTGTATCAAGTACTGACATTACTAGACGAGAATCAGTTGTAGATTTGTTTTACTTAGAATATTTAGTAATTTTTTTTGCTGCTGCTTTTAATTACTAACATTACTAAATCTATTATGACATGCTTCCTCATGAACCATCAGACAGGCTGATATTGCAGTCTTCAAATTATCTGCAATCTGTGCTCATAAATCCTTTATGTCCCTTAATTCACTCTGTACTCTTATATTACTCTGTATTTAGCTACTTATTTTTGAACAAAAGTTGTTAATTGAAGTTCATTTTAGCAGTCCATTTGAATGGCTCTTGGCAAGAATAATTAATTGTGGCTTCAACTTTCTAGAGAGCATAACTCATTAAACCTGGCTGGCTTCCATGTACAGGAAATGGTTTATATTCCCTCTAGCATATTATGCATACAACCATTCATATGCATATTTATGGACTAATATTGACATTAGTTTTTTAACTCTGCATACAGCACGCAATGCATATTTGATGCTTTGAAGTTTATAAATAAAAATCTTTTCAAATCTAGATCTACTTGACTGTTGTATGAAAAAATACTAAAAAAAGCAAGGACTGAATGTGTGTATGCAAGCATGTTGTTCAATGTGTATGCAGAGTCCTTAATGGTGAAGCAATGCCAGTCAATCTAGCAGCTTTTCCTTATCTTTGGCTTTGTTTTGTTTTTGCAGTCAAAAGGAGGTTTGGGAACACCAAAAATACACCGGAAACTGTACTGGCCACAATTGATGCAGTCAAGATCATGATTGAAGCAAATGTAGTGATAGCAGCAGTCACCACAAACCCACTTCCAGCATGAACACTTCCTTCCACACAATCCAAGACAATTGTAGCTCTTGCAGGGTTTGCAGGTTTTCAGGCATTGAAGATTGCTTGGGTATTTTTTCTTTTTCTTCCACCACATGCTGTTGGTATTGTCAGATAACTCCTCAAGCTTCATTGCCATTAAATAGAGAGGCAGGAGTGATGGATAGTCCAGACCAGTTAGACCCATTGTTTCACCCATGTAATGGACTGCTTCATTAATCAATGGATAATGGCTATCCTTCAGTAAATCGCTAATGGATTCTGATATCGCATCCTTATGATAGTCAATAGCCGTTTCATCTAATTCTTGTAGCACAGTTATTACAGCATTCTGACTTGCTGCTTCATCCTTGGATGCAAGAGCTCGCTTTATCACACTTACTTGACTTGCTGAAAGGTAATAATCACCATCAACAACTTTATCACTTTGCCTCAAGAAGGATCTCCCTCCCATTTCAACCAAATTGTTGTGCATTTTACCGGTTGGTCCCATAGTGTAGAAGATGCCGCTTAATTTTATCATTAATCGACCAGAAACAGTAGTAATACTCATGCTCCCATCTGGCTTGGTTTGAAACTGAATCCCTTCTCCCGTGTTCATGTCAAAATATTTTCCTTTAACATTATATTTTGACAGTTCCTCCAATTCCAGTGGAGCAGCAGTGATATCAACACTTTGAATACTATCATAATCATCATCATCATCTACTGGGACAATAGAGCTGCTGGTCAAAGATGAGCAAAGGAGAAGAGAAAGGAAGAGAAGAGAAAGGTGAAAGGTAGTCATTGCTGAAGAGTTGCTTAACACTCAGCTGCTCTCAAGGCACTTTTATAGCTCATGCTTTTCCTTCGTGCTAATAATACCTTTTACTTAATTGGACATAAATATTCATGGAATATAAACAAAGAACAGATATACTGTACATTATAATAAAAACTTTAAATTGCCTTTATTTAATTTTGCATGAACTATTTATGCACAATTAAATAAAGTATAATGATTACAAACGAAAGGCATGAGCTAACGCCCAAGTCGCCCATGCTAAGTTCTATGAACTAACACCCAATTAAATTTAAAAAATTATTATTAAGGGGAGGACATGGGTCATTTAAAGTATAATGTACACCTGTTTCTTGTTTATTCCATAAAAATTTACAGCAAATGAAATAAAGTATTATCATTATTGTATAAACACTTTTAACAGCCTGTGTCCTGTCTCCTCCCCTAAATGATATTTAATTGGGCGTAAATATTCACAGAAGAATTTATATAAACACTTCAAACAGACATGCTCTTTCCTCATTCTTTATTTAATTAATTAATTCCTAAGTATTTGCTTCATATAATCTAAATAGTACATACCTTTCCTTCGTGATAACATCCTTTTATTTAATTGGGCATCAATAAACAAGAAAAGAGCGTGATAATATACACTAGCTTATATATACCAATAATTATTTGTAAACAGTGAGTTGTAAAACTTACTTGTTTTGGTCCTCCAGGAGGGGTGCATGAGCTTGGAAGTTTGATAGAAAAGGAACAATGTACATGCAATTAATAAGTTATACACTTAATGTTATACTTACCTTTACTCAGCTAATTTCTTAAATTGATTGGTTGTTGATAAACAAGGAAAGGGGTATTAGTCTCTGCATGTTCATTGAATGACTAGGAAATATGCATATTTAATGCTAAGGTAGGTTTAGTAATTTGTGTTTTAATTTAATAAAGAAACTGCCTGAGTTTAAGGTAAATGCTTCAAAGCAGTGTGCATGGTATGATGAATCAGTAGCTCAAGGTGTGGCTGCAATGAAGGTGTGGCTCAAATTAAATTAAACCATTCTCCACAATGTAATATATTAGAGTAAATGAAATTACTCCATTTAATAGAGTAATTTTATAACAATAAACTTCATTCTAATATAAACCCTTTGCTCTTTCTTTATTATTTTTGCAATAATTAAGCTTCGTGCGGTTCGTGGAATCTAAACAGTAGTCTACATGCCTTAATTAGTCTTTATTAATGGAAAAGATGACTTAGATAAGTGTACCCTAATCAATGCATAAGGTAATGCTTACCAAAGCAGAGTTATACTGATATACAAACATGTATGAATCATAGATAGTTAATTTACTATCTTATAGGTGATGAAATAATACCATAGCACTACATCCATACTATAGATCAACTTAGGTCAAGTAGAGAGAAAGGAGAGAGTAGAGAGGCAGTTTCTGATTGATATATCCTCATGATATACAAACATGGATCAAAATGGCTGCCTTATAGATGTAAAATTACAAACCCTGTTTGTGTTTGTATATCTATGGTTCCATTATCTATGATCCTACTTAGTAATGCTACCACGTTAATAATTAAATTTCTACTAATTCTGATTAAGTTTGGATTTTTTTACAAATTTTTAAGTTGCTCAGGATCAATGGTCAAATTTTGCCAAAATTGCCTAGGAGAGAATTCTTCATTTTTTGAGCTGACTCTGATCAGTTTAGATTTTCTCTGTATCCATTTGTCATAAACAAAACAAATAGCTCCAACCAATATGCAGTATATAATCAAGTATGCATTTTATGTCAATGAATGTTCATTTCTTCCTAAAATTCTAATTTGTACAAGTACAAATTGGAGAAGTTACAGAGCATTCCCACCTGTCTAAGTAAAATGTGCTGACAATGAATGTGGTTTGTGTGGGGCATGCTTTGGAATGTTCCTTAGAATTGTTCAATTTGTACTTGTACAAATAATTAGAACTAAGAAATAGTTCGATACACTCCCTCTCCTTTCTCTCTACTTAACCTAAGTTGATCTGTAGTATAGATGTAGTGCTATGGTATTATTTCATCACCTATAAGATAGTAAATTAACTATCTATGATTTATGCACCTAGCAACAGATCCAAAACATCTCAATACTCAAGTCAAATAGTGAATTAGTTATGGCCAATACTTGACAAAGCCCCTGCAATTAGTCCCCAACTAAGGAGAAATATAACTAGAAGACAGGAGCACTCTAGCATTAATAATATGTACTAGAAATTATTCAAAACGACAACTATATTGTAAGTTTACTCACTTCAAGGAATTAGTGACATTAGATTCCGCCTACAAAATGAATACCTGTAATTCTTTTCCGCCTACAATATGAATACCTGTAATTCTTATCACTACTCTGTAATAATAGATTTCCATATTTGGAGACTTTGAGCTAGAGAGCTAATGTTGCATCAGCAAATATACTATAACTGTTAGTAAAAGCAAAAGTATGTCTCACCTGTTAGTGGTTGTTCTCTTATTCTTCAGTAGCTTCTGCAGTGTCTCCTCTCATCAGTATTATGTGTCTGATGACTGCAGTTCAGTTACTCATACACTTTGTCATTTTTTCTCAGAGTATGCTGGGGATATGTCTCGATACAACAACAGCATCTTCTACTTCATTGGAACCAGTGACATTAATGATGATGTCAACATGACTGCAGTAAGGAATGTTACTCTGCATGGACTGGATCAGGCTTGTCTTATTAGTAGCAGGAGTGATAGAAGGTCTATTCTTATCTATAACAGCAGTCATGTTGTTTTTTCTAACATGTCAATTTATAATCTTGGAGTTATTGCCCAATCATCTAACAATATTACAATAACTAACACTTTATTTAATGGAACAAAAGCTATCATGACATGGATCTCCATAAAATTAAACAATGCTTTTGACGTTAAGGTATCATCCTTAGTTTTCATTTATTATGATGTAGTTATTACATATGAGCCCCTTGCAGTATGTAGCACTGAACTACCTCATTACTCATTAATACTGGCTAATGTTACATCATTGACTCACAATTACTTTAGCCTATATATTCATCATGGCACCTCATACAACCTATCAGTCATTTTTGATCATTATAATACATATAATAGTTACTCTACATTTGATTTGGGTGATAGCCTTTTTTCTTTTTATATTAAGAACTCATCATTTCAATCAGGACTCAGTGATTACTACATCTTTTATATTACATTTAGTGCAAAACTGAACCCAAAAAAGTGCCAATTTCCTGGTATTCAATTAATTTCTACTTTTGTAATTGAGGATAGTCAATTTCAAGATAATATCTATGGAATTGGAATATTTGGAGTTCCATACTTGCCAAAAACACTTAGTAATCACAATATTAGTATCATTATGAAGTCGTGTTTGATAGCTGACAACACAATTACTGGCTTATTCATTGATGAAAAATTCCTGGCATCGATCCAAATCAATATAACAGATACTGAACTTAATGGAAATGGGCCAAATATGATATTCAACAGTAATGCTATTAGTCTCAGTAATCTTACTGTTGCTAACAGTACCTCAACAGGATTGATACTTAAAGCATCGGTAGTAATAATTGAGAATAAAATAATATTTAGAAGCAATACTGGAGTAGCTGGAGGAGGATTAGCAATAAAAGACTCATCACAATTGATAGTATCATCGTCCGCTTATTTAGAGTTTATTAATAACTATGCTTTTTATAAAGGTGGAGGGATCTATGTTGAAAAGACATCATATAGTGGCATAATATTAAAGGCACCAAATATACCTCTTACATTAATAAATAATAGTGCTGAATTTGGTGATGATATATATGGATATACTAGATCCAATCATATAAACAATCGTTTCAACTTGACAAATCCAAACATTAGTTCAACGGGTGATGTACGGAAAGTAAATTTTTGCACTTATAAAAATCCACGTTATAAACAGATTTATCCAGGTCAAGCACTAAAGTTTCATATAGTTTTGGTTGGTTATGATTACTTTGGATCACTAAATGTCACTGATGGTACATTAGAAATACGTGATGGACTCACTCCAGGCAGTGCTCATACAGTCGATCATGTATATGCTAGACCTAACCCTAATTCTAGTTGCTCGCTGATTGAATACAAACCAAACCATGCTCCCAGTCATGTAGAGTATGTCATGGTATTGGCTACTAAAAAATCTAGTTTCATTTACTGGCATTATATTGTTAATGAATGTCCCATTGGTTTTAGTATAGATAGCTCACAAGGTAGATCTATCTGTGCTTGCAGTCAAAGTGTCTCGAGAGAGAATGTGACATGTGATATAAATAGTCTAAACATCACACACAATGGTCTACTGTGGATTGGAACATATCATACCAGCACACCTTTCAATGCTAATGCAACCAATCCTAATGCATGCATTATCAATGAGGACTGTCTCCTCTATTGTTCTCCTAATCCTGTTACCTTTCAGTTGAATGACACTGATACTCAATGTGTGGATAATAGAGGACAGAGAATGTGTGGATCATGTAGAGAGAGGTACAGTCTATTAATGGGATCAAACAAGTGTGGCCATTGTCATAATAATTACATGATGATAGCTTGGGTTGCTCTTTTCGCAGTAATGGGTGTACTACTTGTGGTTCTACTGATTGCTCTCAATTTAACAGTATCAGTGGGTACACTGAATGGTCTATTGTTCTATGCTAACATTGTCAAGTTATACGAGCCAGTCTTTTCAAGGAAAGGAGCACTACCAGTCTTGAGTCAAGTGATATCATGGATTAATTTAGACTTTGGGTTTGAGATATGTTTTTACAATGGTATGGACAATTATGCTAAACAATGGCTCCAGTTTGCTTTCCCTCTCTACCTGTGGATCATTATCATTATCATTATACAATTGTGTAGGAGATATGGTAAGATATCAAGACTGATGGGGTCTCATGCTGTTCCTGTTTTATCTACACTCTTCCTTCTCTCATATACTAAACTGGTACGTACTATTGTTATTGTACTACACAAGCGTGAGGTAGCTCTTCACTGTACAAATGAGTCAGTACGATCAGTTAGTTTATGGTATGAGGATCCTAATGTTG